AGTCCCTTTTGTCTGTAGTGCTAACCAGCGTAGCACTGCCGAGCCTATAAGCATGCTGCAGGTTTTTCCTCCCAAGGTGGAGAACTTTGCATTTTTCGGTGTTGAACACCATCAGGTTCTCATCCACTCATTGCATGAGCCTGTCAAGATCTGCCTGGATCGTCCTCCTGTCCTCAGGTGTGGATGCTTTACCCCAGAGTTTGGTGTCATTGGTGAACTTGGCCAGCCTGCTTCCGACACCAATGTCTACATCATTGTTGAAGATGTTAAAAAGTAAAGGCCCTAGGATACAGCCTTGATGGACCCCACTGGTCACAGGACACCATGACGATTGACTTCCATCAACCACTATCCTCTGGGTCCTGCCATGGAGCCAATTCTCCAGCCAGTGGATCGTGGTGAGGTTGAGGCCGCTGTTAGCCAATTTTGTCAAGAGGTGAACATGGGATACCAGATAGAAGGCTTTTTTAAAGTCAAGTTATATGACATCAATCTTTTCCCCCTTATCCACCAAGTCACCTGGTCGTAAAAGGAAATGAGATTGGTCAAGCAAGACGTACCTGCAACAAACCCATGCTGGGTATCCCTCAGGATATTGCTGTCAGCTAGTCTGTATATGATGGCCTCTTTGTTAATCTTTTCCAAGAACTTCCCCAGGATAGAGGTCAGGCTGATGGGCCTGTAGTTTGCCGGATCTACTTTCCTCCCTTTTTTGAAGATAGGCACCACACATAAAGAACAATTTACAGTAAAGAAGTAATAGTCCCGCTGCTACCCTTGGACAGGTCTGGGGCCTAGTCTTGTTGCTGTCCTGTTACACCAAGCAGTTCCTGCTGCCTCACCCGGACTATCTCCTGGGATGCCACACTTCCTGGACATTCAGTTTCCAGGAGGACTTAACTCTGTGTCATACAGTTGTCCATGACTCTGGAAAAATCTTTTTTTCTACTTTCTGCCTTTCAAAAAAACAAAGTGTGTGTATTATTTAGGGGTGTGTGGTATGTGAGAAAATGTCATATATAACATGGCCCAAAATATTCCCTTGCATCTCCTCATTGTAGTTTGCCATGTCATGCAAAACCTTGATGGGTGACTTCAACATTTTGCAACAGATCAAGACATCATTCATATGTTGCTGTTTAGAAAGTTATTCTGCTTTAACATTGCTGAGATCACCCACATTTTGTGTCCTCATGAGCATATAGTGGTTGAACACATGCAGGCACATGAACCACTATTTTGAAGTGCAGCTTAATTTCATAAAACAAACTTTTAAAAAGGGATCAAAGCTACAAATTGCTCACTAAAGTTTCAGTTGTTCAGGCAGGTGTTCACATAACAGAGACCTCCTGCATTTCAGGTTCAGCTACTCTCAATACTGCTTACTTTGTGGAAGGAGGAACAATTTAATGTGGATATTGGTAACGCCATTCTGGGATCTTCCACCCACACTTTGTCAAATGCTTGTAGTCCACACTCTTTACTCTGATGAAAAATTTGGTATATGGGTGTTAGGGAGTCCCTCAGTACCTTGATGGTTTTTACAGTTAAGGTAGTTCCTGCTCCTTCCCTGTAATAATAGCTTTTTGGATTGCACAGATAAAACAATTTGACACCAAAGGGGTGGACATGGGGATATCTTTTTACCTGAGAACTTTCTTTCTAGGACCTTCCATGTCAGTCTGACAAAGGGGCCAAGAAAGAAAATTCACAAGTAAGACAGAATTTTTCTCTTTCAAACTTACTTAAAAATGGCTTGTCTTTTTTTCCCCAAAATGCACATTGTGGTTCAGAGTAAGCATAATAAATGTAATGAAGGAAGTAGGTTTTCTTCACAGGATTTTAGCTGTGGGCAAGGGGGTGATCCACTATGTAATTATACTGGAAATTGTCTAAATCTTGACTGAAAAATTGTTACTATTTCATTGTGCATTTCATCCCAAAAGAGTTCCAGAAAACTTTGTAGACTGTATTTTACAGAGTGCACCTATGCACAATATAAATAAGCACATGAGGACTAAAATGCGACAGTTGCAATATATATATTTTTTACAGGAAAGTAAAGAACTTTTTTATCCACAAATGAAGGTGTAGGCTGAATATTAAGTAGGCAGGGATTTTCATTTGACCAAAAAACTGCTGATTTCCTTGTAGCACAGAAAATACTGTGAAATACTTTAATGATTATATGGTAGGATCTTGCTTTTATGTAACGGCTTCAAAGTTGTCTCCTAGACCCCTCTAGGTGGTCAGGTAAAGGTGTGATAGGATTTGATGCAGAATCCACACAATCACACCACCTGGCCTGCCACTTGTGCATGGCATGAGGTGTGATTGTGGGATCCAGAATCAGATCCAGTCATGCCTTATTGCTGGTGCAGGGGGAGCCCAAGATTGTTATGCCAGGTTCCCCCTGTACCAGCAAGTAGCAAGCTCCTGCAGCTAGGAGTCCGCAGCTGATGGGTCTCACAGCTCTGGGAGTGCCCAGTTGCTGCTGCAGCTAGTGGGCCCTTAGCTGATAGGACCCCCAGCTGCAGGAGTCTATGGGGCATTACTGTGGATAGGACTCCTGCAGCTGACAGGGCTCACTGGTGCAGGATTGCATGGGGTGTTGCTGTTGGCTGCAAGCCCCATCAGCTGCAGGAGTCCCAGCCCCAGCAGTGACCCATGTGCTCCTGTGGCTGGGAGCTGACGGGGCTCCTAGCCACAGGGGAGCACCTGACTACATGTTTGATTAATGGCATGATAAGAATGTGCCACAAAGTTATGACATATTTTTTTGTGGAATAACTTTGTGGCTTATTTGTGTTTTATCATACCATTAATTGATTGAACAGGTGGCAAGTGCTTCCATTTTCCTTTCCCTTCATTCAGGACACTGACAAGGTTTAAAGCCTTGCAAATTGACACAATTCATGTTTTTACCAAGATGCATCTTAAATCGGTGTTGTCTAAAATCTAGTGATGATGATTTTCTTGCAGTCTTTAATTCTTCAACTTTCTGAGGAAGGGTGGTGCTTGTGTGGCATTAAAGCTACCACAGTGCTTCCAATTCTGCTGTTTTTTTCCTTTCCCCAGTGTTTCATAACTTTTACTTAGTGTCCTATAGTATGATGACAAGTTCCTTGCAATTTTTTGCTTTTCTATCTAGTCTTCTCTCAAGAATTAATTTTTAGTTCCATACTATTTTCCAAGTGATTGTTGTTTATATGAATCAAATAAAATCTATTTTTTTTCTTCCAGAATAGCTGCTATATCCATAGCCACTAAATTAACAGACCTGCAACTTGGAGACTCAGTGGAAATCAGTAGATTGGTTACCAAAAAAGAAATGAAGCAAGCCAGGTACTCATGTAGGATGAAGCATGGGGAAACAGATTTGAACTCTTTGTGCATATGCATATGTGTGCATATGCTTGCACATGTACATGCCTATATAGGTGCTATGCCTATATAGATAGGTAGGTAAAGGTAAGAATCCTGAAAAATCTGGGAACTTTAAATGGCCTATCCATATACTATAACAATACAGCTTTTTTGAGGATTATTTTTCATTTTGGATAAGAATCCTTAAATGTCTGTGCATATTTTTGTTATCATATAGAATAGTTTCCTCATTTTGTTGAATGTTGGTTTGTTATGGTTAGAATTTTAGTGCTCCTATAGATGTACAGGGAGCTGGCTCTGATGCATTGTAAATCCAGCAAGTCTCAGAGCAGACTTCATTTAAGAGTCTGCTGGAACACAGAAATTACCGTGCTCCAGCAGCCTCCCACATCACATGCATCAGTGTCCTTGCACTGAAAAATAATGGCAGGGCGCTTTGAACTAAAGCTTGTTCAATGAGCTTTAGTTTGAAGCTCCCTGCCCCTATTTTTTAAGGCGGGGGATGCTGATACACATGACTTTCAGGCACTTTTGATTAACACGGCTCTCTAATTAAAGCGCTTCCCCATGCCTCCCAGGGTACATGTAAAAAACACTCTTAGTGTCACACGGAATAAGGTTGTGTGTAAAACTGCATATATGGTAGTAGAGACCTTCTGAAAATGTCATACATCTACCATATTTACTGAAATATAAGGCGAAGTGCCCACCCCCCTCAGTCGGCATGGGAGAATAAGCCCCTAGTCTTACATAGGTGTACCAGCAAACTCTTCCCCCCCCCCCCATTAGGTACATTGGCTATCATTAAATTGCTGCTAGAAGCAGCATGTGCTCAGTCATGGGATCTAACTGTGAAGATGACTGAATGCAGCCCTTGCTGAGTATGCCCATGAAACGCATGGCCTATAGGCTAGGGACAGAAGTTGCACACAGAATGGTTTATGTGATCAGAAACTGTAACAGACTTGTAACCTGTAACAGAACAGAAGCTCAGTGCACATAAACCAGTTTCAAAATGGCAGAAACGGGTTTAAAATTAACCTAGTTGAATGTAGTATCAGACTTAACTGATTTTAGGTCAAACTGGTTTATGAAACTTCTGTCCCAGACCCCTTCCTGGTTCAAGTTAAATCACAGTCCCCCAGCAGCCCAGGATGCTTTGCAGCCCTGGGCTGGGCTGTACTGTACTGTCTGCTCCAGAGAGCAGGGCTGGCCCTGTCTGTCTGCTCCCTAGCTGGAGCAATGAGGGCTGGCTGACAAGGGGGTGGGGGTGGGAAGCCTGGCTAGGGACTGTGGCTGGGTCTGCTTGTAGGGGCCGGTGGGCAGTCCTTGCCAGTCTTTTCCCTGCTGGGGTGGGGCAACAACCTAAGAGGGACTGCCCCGACCCCCAAGACAAACCCTACCTGGGGTCTGTGGTCTTGGAGGGCCTTTAATCCCCCCGCATTCCCAGCTCAGTGTTCCTCAGTGTGGCAGAGACTGAGGCAGGCAAGCAGTTGATAAGAGGAGGGGGTGTAATTCCCCTCGGCTCCCCCAGGCCATGGGGGAGAAAGAAGAGACTGGGAAACTGGAGCTGGAGGGACTGGTCCCCTGCCACCTGTGAGCTCTGGGATCTCCACTTCAACACCTAAGACCACTTGCTGGTTCCCCAAGAAGGATTTTCTGAATACCTGGCTGTAAGGAGACACCCTGCCCTCAGGATTACATAAGATTTATGGAAGGCTTTCTCTTGTCTTGTTTTACATTTTAAGTTAGACTAAGTTGTGCATGCTCTGACTGTGTTTTACTGGGCTGAATCTTAGCTTAGGTGCAGATTTTACTTGTTCTTTGTCATGTGTTTGAGATTACAAATTGCTGTTTAATATATGCTCACTTCAGAGAGAGGACTATTCTTGTCCAAGCTTTTATGAATTCTGTGCCACAACCTTTTTCTCCACCCACCCCCTCCTCAGCCTGCCAGCCTTGAACAAGAGGTGGGGAGGGGGGCAGAAGCGTGGCGGGCACTGCCCCCTCCCCTGACCAAACAGACCCGGGCTGGGGTCCCCTGTGGTCCAGGGAGGGAATTTAAACTCCCACCCTCTGGCATGTTAGCTCAGGGCTGGGGCCTGGCCACACTACCTCCACTGGAGCAGGGAAGTTGGGAAAAGCCTTGGAGCTTCAGTCCCTTCCCTTTGGCAGTGGCTGGCAGGCTGGGAGCCTTGCTCTAGTACCGGCCCCACTGCTTTGGGCCTGAGCCATTGCAGGCATGTGGCCGCATTTCCTGAATCCAAAGTGAATGTCTATTCACTTGCTTCTCAGTTTGAGCTCTCCAGTTTAGACTAACTTGCAAAGACTGAATCAGTTCAGCCCTGGGCTTTTTGGCTGTATGTACTTAGCCCTAGTGGGCAAACACATTGATGGGAACCTTCCGTTGGCAATGCGTAGGGGGTGCACAGGCACCCCCTACAGAAAGCGCTGTTGACGCTGCTAGTGGCGCCTGCAGTCTGGTTGCCACTTGCCACCCCTTCCCTTGCTGCCAATATTGCCAGTGGCATCTGCGGGTGGTCCCCAATTGCAGCTGGCCAATGCTGCCAGAGGTGTCTGCGGGTGGTCACCAACTGATGGTCAGTGGACGCCA